GAGAAATAGACCATAATTTCGAATATAGACGAAATATCAAATCTATTTATTTAATTTTTTATGCCACTAAATTTTTGTATACAATATAGCCCATATATTTCTTTGGGAACATCACAATTCAACTTTTATTAACACTTATCCTTTAAAGTTATTCCAATTAGTTTTATTGATATTTTTATGTGCCTGATTTAGGTGATCAAGGCTGTATTGTGATCTACAGTGACCTGATCAGCAAACGCATAAGATACTAGCAAAACGTATACAATGAGTTGTGAAGTAAAAGGATCTTAGATAGTTTCTAAGAGCGTCGGGGTCTAAAACCGATTGTATTCACTCCATACAGACGACCAACGGTCTCTCATGCTCCTAATAAGTACAGGAAATTGTTCGAATTTATTATATATATTGTTATATATATATTGCTATATATTATATATCCCACAGTGGGTGTATTCACTGGAGTATCAACGGAGCACTGTACCATAACATCGGTGCTCCAATGGTGGTGTATTGTATATGATGAAAAAATCCATTAATCACTTTAAATATTTTTGATTACAACTAAAGACGAAGTTACTTGTATGTCCTAGAGACTATTTTTTCTTTGACAGATATATTGGAAGTAAGTTTAACAAGTATACTACACGAAGATAACCCAAGCAACTCTGAGGACATTCACAATTGGTAACAGATGTCTCAGAGTAGTTAGTTAGTTGATGTGGTTGGAGGACTAGTCCTTCTCAATTAACTAAAAAGCCGTTTTAAGTTCGCAAAAACCTCGTAATAGTGGATAGTAGGTAGAAGGTCAAACTAGAATTAGCCAGCGGCATTAACAAAGGCAAGAATCTGGCTAATGATAATGTTGGAGATATCGTCAAGTGAATTGAAGAAGAGGGCCCCTAGAAACTTATGCCTAGTTCTGGCCAAACCTGGACAACGACACATTAGGTGTTCTGGTGTCATTTCCTCAAGAGCTGGTAGACATGCATTACAAGAGGAACCACAGGGTAGGCTGTCTCAGAGTAACAGTGCAGACAGTTGTTTCTGTCTCAACCTATCCTGGGTACTTTGGAACGTCTAATTGAAGTTTTTTAAAAGTTTTCACGCGTAATTAAAAATTTTTCATCACATCTATATGCATAATAAACCACTATTAAAATGCTAATGGCGAGATTGCAAACACCCAATAAGAAGTACTTAGCTTAACGTTTAATTTCGATTAAATTCAGCATTTGATGATACCTAATAAATTGACATAGTTGTGTGTATTTACGATGTACGAGGAGTATTCAATAAATAATCTATATTAATATGAATTATGCGATATGAACAAATACTGTTTGCTGTTGTGTTTACTTACAACATATGCCATAGCAACTTATCGTACCTGTACGCACCTTAGGACATATTTCCAAAATAATTATACTAGGATTATGCATGGACCTCTGATTTCAATTTCTATTTCCGTTTTAGTGGTTACACATCTTGGGGCTGCAAACTGAATTCCAGAAACAGAAATATTCAAATTTTAATTTCGTTCGTTGGTGAATATTAAATTTCGTCTCTATTTGGGTTATGCTTACTGCTACACTGTGAATAACAATTTGGGGGATTTGTCAAAACGAGCGAATGCATTAACTTCGTTTGTCATCTGAGGCATTTGCTGATAAATTCAGTTTTCTGTTTTCTGTTTGCAGTTTGCAGTTTGCAGTTCACAGTTCATAGTTTTCAGTTTCTGTTGAAGCGTGGAATTTCAAAGTTTATTTGTAAACGAAAACAGCTCACATTTATGCCATCAAAGTTGTGTCATCGTGAACATATGCGAGATTCGTCCACCGTGCAAAAATTGCATCAATGCAGCTTTGGTGTGCACTTATGCAGAAGAGAGTTTGTAATTTAACCAACGAACTTTTGTACGATATTCACAATTTTTAGTTAATAAAATAGTTTTTGACATTAAATACACCGATGAGAAATAAAAATAGCAGTATAAGTTTATGACTCTATCAAAGAAGAGAGAAGTGGATATGAACTTGCCATGGATTATCATTGTTTTTATTAGTAGGTGGGGAATACTATATATCACAACTTGGATTGGTTTGTTTTTACTAACTGCCATTATCTTAAACTCTACTTAGGCTTTAAATGAACGTCAATACTTCGTTCAGTTTTAGTTTATTATATCAATTGTATAGGGGATAGAGTCCGTCCCCACGATAAATATACTTACAACAGCTCAAGCTTGTGCATACGCCGAAAATTTATTCCGATATAACAATATCCATAATATCATAACACCTCAGGCAATAATGGTCTGCCAGTAACTTTATAAGAATTTTTAAATTTTCTCTACACAATGCGATGAGTCTTGGATGGCTTGCGGAATCTTATAGCCAATCTTTGGCATTTGTACTTTGCCAAATCATTTTTAAATGAATATTTTACTTAGTAAATTTATTCTTTTACAATATTTCTCTTTGTAAAAGTACAGTTAGACTGAAGACCAAGTAATTAGTGTTAGTTTTCTTATTTAGTCTTATATTGACTTTCGGAGTTAATGCAACTGGTCACTTTTACTCCTTCTAAGCTGGGTGGTTTCTGCAGAGTCCCACTTTTCTCACTAACTAATTTATGTATTCCTTACAAACTTTGTGATTATTCCATGACTGATCTAAGATCTGCATATTGCCCTGTACGGCTAGTGATTAGATTAGAGATTAGATAGTGCTACGTAGGGCAGGCTGTCAGTTTTTGCATATACATGTCTCTTATGTATTTTCTGATCGGGTTTATTCTGAGGCCTCTTAGCATATCATTCGTGCGAATGTGCCATAGCATTTTGACGAGTCTTCGGAAAGCCTAACTTTGAGCAATTTCTAGCTTCCGCATAGTTTGTTTGGATAAATTTAGATATTCATCAAAATAAGACATAATAGTTTGTTTTCAAAAGAGTAATTTATTTCACTCCTAATTTTGGGAATGCTGAGTTGAAAGTTATGTATGGAGAGTATACATTTTATAGTTATTGCAAAAGCTTATATTAATGATAATATTAGAAACGATAGCAATTACTTTAGTGATTATCATTATTTTATGCACGCATAATAGATCTAAAATCGAGGTTAAGCTGGTTAGTCGTAAACAGCTAACCCTAAAGCAAATAGGTAGTAGGCAATATTTAAGATGTGAATGATATATATAAGCTTTAGGAATGCTTGCCGTTTTATTTTTGAGACTTCTTCGAACTTCATAAATTCCGAAACCTTCAACGTATTCCTGACAATGTAATGTTCTAAGCCCTGCTTTTTTCCAATTCCATGAAAATTGTTAATAAATTAGTTTGGATAATTAATGAACTGATTCCAACATTAACACTCAATTAATTTAGTTCAAAAATTATTTAATAAATTATCATATTAAATTATTGTTTGCATGTATAACTTTAATTACCATTATTAATATTTTAAATAATTATTTTATTACAATTATTTTAGTTAAATATGCAAATAAGTTATTTATGTGTACTGAAAGAACCAATATATTTTTTAGTTTCTATCAATTTGAGTAAATATATACACTTTATATACATAGATATTTTTATGTAACTGTTCACTTGACTACTATTTGAAGCACAGGACAACAAATTACATACACGCATAATTTGAGTGCCCTGTAAAAGGTGTTCAATTCATTCCTCTTCAATTGATTATCTTTAAACGTAACTAAAACAAATTTAAATACATAATTTAAAATTGATATATGATGTATTTTATTTTTAACATATTATAGTTTACTCTTTGTGGTTAGAATATTTTAATAAGTGTAAATAATTATATGCGTAACGATTCCATAAAAATCTGAATGTGTGCTTATATATAAACTTAATTAATGAGTAATTAAAAATGAAAAAAAAAAACAAAAATAATGTTTATTTCAATGCAAAACATATTTTAAAATCGTAAATATTGAACGAGAAGCTTTAGTTAATGTAAATAGTGATAAATAAGTAACAATGGAGATACATGAAAAAAAAAGAATAATGGGCTTAATAGAAGTGAGCAAGTACTTTAGAACATAGTAATACAAAAAATTAATTAACGCTTTTATATATACATAAAAAGTTTTTTTTGCATACGTGGAAATATTATGTTGTAATATATTTATTATTATTTTTAATTTGAATATTAGTCATATTAATCATATTAGTCAGCGCACCTTAATTGCTTAACTGCTGAGTTCAAATAACATCATCATCCATTAAACGAGTATAAAACATTACTAGGGCCCAACATCAACATTACGATATTTTTCATTACATAAATATTTTTATAGTAGATTTAGCGGTAGTAGACGATGTTACAACACATTTCAAAAGTATTTATTTTTTTCTTTTTTTTTTACTTTTATTTTAATAAACAATAAATTATAAATTATAAATTGAAATTGAAATTAAATAAATCAGAACATTTATTTAAATAAATTGCATGTAGCTTCGCTATTAGCACCACTGAAGTAAATACACATACATAAATAAATACGCGCCTTAAGGTAGGCTGTAAAAAATTACACCTCATATTCATAGTTTACTATGTTTCTGTTTGTTGTTGCTGTGGTGAATTTAGTATTATTTTCTTTTTTTCATATTTTTTTTTTTTTTTTGTTGAAAAATATATTGTTTGTGATATTTTTATGAAAATGAAAATTTGAAAACTCTAATGACGATGACAACATTTGGAAATGAAACACAACACAAATACGAACGCAAACACAAACACAAATACAAATACAACACAAAACTAAACAACAACAACAACCGTAAAAAATCAAAAAATACAAATTCTTTTATTTTTTTTTTCTGAATTATTTAAATTTTCTTAACATTTGGTTAGGAAAATTTGGTAGAAAATTTTCTAATTGCATTTTTTAATTTTTTCTATTGTCTTTTTTTTTTTTGCTTTTTTTTTGTTTTTGTTGTCAGTAACAAACGCTAATAGACTTACCCATTCGGACATTTCGTGCGTATCAGCATTTCGATGATGATAATTTAATATTAAAATCGTTGACACAACGGATGAAGCTACCATAAACATTATGCAATTGAAATATGTACCTGTTGGTTGGTTGGGCGTGTAAATTTCATATTTATCAGATTTTTTGTTGTATTATTATTTTGTTTTATTTTTTTTTTGTTTTTTTTTTGTTTTTTTTTTTTTTTTTTTTTTTTTTTTTTTTTTTTTTTTGTAATGAAAAAGGTTTTGCTCGTTTGTTTTTTTTTTTTTGTTATATTGTTTTTGTATTGATATCGTGTGAAGATTACAAGATTTAAATAATATTATAAATGTTATTTTTTTTTTTTTTTAAGTTCCCAAAAAAATTTTTTATTATAAAATTGTGATTATTTTTTGCAAGTTTCGTGTAAGTTTTTTTGTAATTGTTTTTGTTTTTTTTTTATTGAAAAGCATAGCGTGTTTGGGGAGCACAAGTAAAAATAGAAAGAAAAGGTAAAATATATACAAATTTTACATTAGTTTCAAAAATTTATCAAAATTGTGTTAATAATATTTTTAAGTTAAATATTAAAACAAATTTATATAGCACACATAATACGAGTATATATGTATAACAATAAGAATTGTTAAAATTAGTTTTACTTTTATTTTGCAAACAATTTAACTTAAGAAAATATTGTGATTTTTGTAATAATTTTTGCTTGAGAAAATATTTATATAAAATTTAATTTAATATGAAAAAGTTTATTTTTTACTTTAAATATTGTTTTTTTTTTTCTTCTATAAATTATATTTTAAATTTTTTAAATAATTTTTATTTAAAAATATTTATTTAATGCACTGACATCTGAATTTTTAATATAATTTATTTGTTCAACTAGAATAACTGACTGAAAAGAAGAGAAAACTATCTTCAATATGATGTCTCCATTAAGGCTGGAGTTGAAAAACACAAAGTTTGGTGAATAAACACTTATAAAGAATAGTTTGGTGAATAATTTTTTGTAAATTAGAGTTTGGTGAATAAATTATTAAACTAATTAATTTAATATTTATTCATTAAATTGTTAAGAAATGTTCAATAAATGAATTTTTAAAAAATGGATAGCTTAAATAATTAATTTTTAAATAGAATAAACTGTTATAAAAACAAGTTTGGTAATTAATTCTTTGTGAAGTAGAGTTTGGTGAATAAATTATTAAACTAATTAATTTAATATTTATTCATTAAATTGTTAAGAATTGTTCAATAAATGAATTTTTAAAAAAATTAATAGCTTAAATAATTAATTTTTAAATAGAATAAACTGTTATAAAAACTAGTTTGGTAATAAATTTTTATATGGTTGAGTTTGGTGAATATATTATGGGACTCTAAATAGTTTAATAAATAAATTGTTCTAAAGATAAGTTCGGTAATTTACTTTTGCAAGAAGGATAGAACTTTCCTATTCAAATTTTTTAGATATGAATTGTTAAATAGGTTAATGTGGTGAAAAATGTTTTAAATAAAATAGTTTTGAGAACGGATTGTTTTATAATATAGTTTGATAATAAATTTGTGAGACAGAATAATATATATATATATATATATTCATTGAGTAGGTTGAATGATTTGATATATTAATTGGTAAACAGGATAGTATGGAGAAAAAAATTCTTAAATAGTATAGTCTGGTGAATAAATTTATAAATATAATAATTATGCAAATAAATTGATAAGTGACATATAATAGTTCGCTGAATTCACTGTGTAATAGATTAAGTTTATATTAAGATTATATTATTTCTATATAACATTTCATATGCATTTTGTATATAATAGCTAAGAGATAATAAAGTATTAGCTATTTGCCTCGTGTCTCTATAATATAAGAATAGTTGAAGGTATAATCTGGTAAATAGAATGGGTTAATGAATAAATTGTTAAAAAGCATAGTTCGATGAATTAAATTTTAAAAATTCGCAGAATTGTGAAATAGGGTAAATTGATAAATAGAAGTGTTGCCTGCTTATTATTTTAGAGAAAGCACTAAAGCACTTGGTTATTTTGAAAGGTAAGGTTCGCACTAAAAGCAAGTAATAAGCCGAGAATGGGTCAAAGTACCGCAGATCATTAACGGTCATTGGGATAAAGCCATCCTTAAAGGATCGCAGAAAACATAAAATATATTTAATTGGATTATAGGAGGTGGTTATGGTTGGGGTTGGGAAATAATATTAGGTTATCTTAAAATAAACCTTTTATTAAACGAACTGTTGTGTAGATGTGTAGATATACGATTACAGACTTGTATTTATATTCTTAGGATTCTTATAGATTTTTATTACTATTAAACTTATAATATATTTTAATGTCTATAGTAAAGAATAAAAGAAAAAATGAAATAAATTATATTTAATATTTTTGTTTTCGTTATTATAAAATCAGATGTCAGCATTTTTAAACTAGTATCTAAAATATTCTATTACTTTAAGGATGTTTTTCTATTGCATTCTACAATAATGTTTAGGTATTATTTTAATCAAAGCAAATATTATTCAATTTAATAAAATTGTTCGTGCAAAAGTTTTTAATTGTGCAATGGAAACAAAAACTCACAGTCGTAGTAGGAAAAAAATTGGAATTTAAATTTTGAAAAAAACTTTAATTTAATTTTAATTTAATTTTAATTAAAATTTTATAAAAACAGCAACTTTTTTTTGTTAATTAAACCGATTAAACGATACGTAGCTCGTTCGCATTTTAGTCCAAATCCTTACAATAATCAAGAAATTAGGTATATATATATATCATTTATTAGTTATAGATAAATTCAACTTTCGACTCTTACGGTGCATATAACAACTATTTGAGATTGGAATTTTTTATTGAGTTTTTTAGGAGACCAGTGAGGCAAGGCGCGCAAATTTAAGTCTAACTTGGTTTAGGAGAAAGCCTGAAATTTGCCACGCTTTCGAAAAAATCAACTGGTGTATGTATTTTTTTTAAGTGTCAAAGTTTTAATATCATAAAATCATCAACTTTATTTGAAATGCATTTTTTTGTTTATTTATTTCTACAAATGATTAATTTTTAATTATTGATGGGGTCTGTGTGGTGGCACAGATCGAAATGCGTATGGCAAAGCAAGAATGCCGATGAGAGATGTCAGATGTTGGAGATGATGAATGAATGTGATTTTTTTTTTTATTCTTATTCTTATTTTATGATGTTAAATTTTGCAAATTGCTTTAGCAATAGGGATTTAAGAATATATATTTTTTTTAAATTTTAAATGTAACATAATTAAAGCTTTGTTCTTAAACAAAATAATTCATGAAAAATGATTTTGTTTATAACTTTTAACGCTAAACTACAACGGCTAGTCATACATAATTTTAAATTTAATATATTTATATGAAATTGTTCATCAATCACATCTAAACAATTACTTTTATTTAAACACATCAAAAATACACAAATATAACATCAACTTGGCAAACACGATCGACTTACCTAAAAGAGGTACTGCATCGGATGTGGCCGGCATTGTTTCTGCCACCATGTTTAGAAAGACAGTCAACGAAAGCAAAATCGTAACGCCTGGAAGAAAGATAAAGAAATATATATGAAATAATTTAGTGAAACTCTGAAATAATCAATAAAGCATATATAAGAATATGAAGATGATCAACAAACATAGTTGAAATATGACACTGCGAACGTCGGCTCTATTGTGCTCTCTCCTGCGTTTAGAGTAGGTCTCCGAGCTCTGTTGCGTCAATAAAAAGCAGTATAGAGCCTACTTTATTTGAAACATTACACTTAATAATAAATTTAAAATTAAATTTAAAAATACAGCAAATGAATTTCTTAATAAAGCTCCCAAAAAAAAAAAATGCGAATATATAAGTCCAGTACGGCTTGGGGTCAGTTGGTTAAGGAGCGCTGACTCTGAACTTCAAATTTGGCAAGTCATGAGTTCGATAGTTTAAAATTCTCCTAGTTGGGCCTTTAGGCGCACAATAGATCTTTCAGGTCGGGGTGCTTCAATAGCCTATTACTTAAATAAATAAATAAAATAAATAAAAGGTCTGCCTAACCATCACACTAAGACAAATTGACGAATGCATGTTAAAGTAGAAGATGCGTAGCTTAAGTATATAATAAGTCCCTGCAATGATGTTCAAAAATATATATTCTATTTGCAGGACGAATGCCGGATATTCAATGAACTTATCATTAAAAAATAACTAAAGCAAAATATCTCTTATGTTTCTATCTGGCTCTATCAAATAATCAATAAAAATTATATGCAGCAACCAGTACGGACTAAGAATATTGGAGTGAATGATCTCTTCCAATTATTTTGTCACGCGCATATCCTAAGAGTATTCGCCCTATTAATAACTGTCTTTTAAGGTTGTAATCCGGTAATGCTTTGAATCAACTCTATATGTAATTTTTTGTGTGATATATTATTGAGCAACATTTTTCTAAAAGCTCTCTTAAAACTTTCAAAAGCTTTCAAAAGCACACTAAAAGCTCTTTCACATTTATTAAGTAACTTAAGTCAATGGAAACGACAAATTCTAGTAAATTACTTAAGTAACTTACAAAGTAAGCAGTGGAAACATTGGTATTAGCCACGTTTAGTGATGCGGAAACCCGTTTTACAAGTGCTCATTGTAAAGTAGATCCCGTTTTCTAATGTGTCGGGAAACTAGTAGGTGTGATATTATAGCATTCGCTCAAAGTCGTAAAGCTTCTTCTGCCTTGCTTCACTAGATTAAACGCTGTAATGGCTGAATTAAAAGTCAGAAACTCTGCGTGTCTGTTATTGTATAACCTAGGGGAGGGGGGGGGGGGGCGGGGTATTAGCATTTGGAGAAGATAATTTATATACTTTAGCTAAATAAATTTCAGTCACAATTCCAAAAATTTACAATTCTGAACCCCATTTAACAGCAGTATTGGAAAATGGAGTTTAATTTCTGAGTATGGTATATTTGCTATCTGGCCTTTAATTAATTTATCTGTTTTTTTTTTCAAATTTTATTAAATTTTAATTGTGTTGAAAAATATCTATGGTGGATAGGCGGGTGGTAGCATAAAATGTTCACCAAACTGGGTGACATCAAACTTAGCTATATCTCGGAATACAATAACTAATTTCCTACGTCGCTTATATACGATTTAATTAGTTGCATTTATTTACCATTTATTTGAGGTTAAAGAGTGTTTTATGTATTTAAAGTGTAAAATGGTGAAAATAGTTTTTATAAATTGTGGTTGGATTTTTTTTTTTGTTTTTTTTTTTTGAAATTCAATTATTTTAATTGCAACTTGATGATGTCACTAATTGAACCATTGAATGGTGGCCTTTATTGCCACACAATAAAGCTAAACAAATATTATTTTACTATTTTGCGAAATATTTGATTGTTTATTGTTTCACAGCCGAACAGAACAATTATTAAACAGTAAAACAGTAGAAATAAGTTTCGACTATCGTAATTAACTTAGTTAAATTAAAATTGTATGCAAACCACTTATTTAATTGCATGGGCTGTACAGTGTACACGGTGCACTTCTCAAATACTTAATAATACAAACTAAATGCATTTTAACAATTGACTTTGAATTGGTACTGAGCAAATTAACCACAATGTCCTTGTAAACCAAGTTTCCCTGCAAACACGTATAATTTCACATCAGATCAATTGCTAGTGGGTTTCGAGTAGCATTACGAGCACTACGAGCACTACGAGCACTGCTAGCACTATTAGTCCTATTGGTCCTGTTGGTTCTATTGGCGCTACTGGCAGCTACTCTTAATGGTACATACAATATGTATGCGAAGTAGAAGGAGTATTGCAGTTCTCTAGTAGAATTTGCAGTTAAAATTGTTGTAGTGGGCAAGGTCTGCAGTCATTGTGCTACCATGGACCTTCATTCAGATTGTGTAAGCTTTGCAAATACAATGAATTCAATGCGATTCTGTGGCACAAAAATTCAATTTTATTTATTTTAATTCAATTAAATTCATATTTTATCCTTTTGTGTCCTCAGAATTTACTATTTGTGGACTTGTATTGCAGGAAGTGTTTCTAACATAGGCGTGTGTTGCACTAAAGGCGACTACATTGTGGTCTAGAAATGTATTTGTAAGTAAATTTAAAAGTAACTCCTTCGTATATTTGCATGACTACTCCTTCATGTACTTGAAGCATTTAAAATGAAAATATTTATAAATTTTAAAAAATTTACCTGAAATATAAAAGAATTTTTAAGAATTCTTTTTTAAGAACGTATTTAAAACATGTTTATATACTTAAGAGGACGAGAAATTAAAAAAATAATAGAAGCCAGAGAGTTCCACATTTGAAAAAAAATTCTTAGTCAAAAGAGAAATAGAATTTTATTATATTATTTATATATTTCTATTTGAGCCCGTGCACTTGAGCACTTTTACACTTTCTTAACTCGAGGTATTTTCAAAACCCCTCTTTTCGCCTTGACTGGATTATTGTTTATTACTTCATCAGACTAAGCAATAATTAACTTCAGATCTGCATACCTCCCCAAGGAGCCTATAACCATTCGGAGATTTGACAACGCGGTGTTGGTTAGTCTGTCAGTATTCGCAAATAATTTCAGGGCTCTATCCTTTATGTATTTTTTGATGGGATCAATCTTGTAGTTCCTGAGGATGTCATTCATCCTAATGTACCATGGAACTTTGAAAAGTCTTCTCAGAGCCTGACTTTGTGCATTTTCTAGCTGGCGAATAGTAGTGTTTGAAGCTTTGCTTAACGCTACGCAACCATATATAGAGCCATCTTCTACAATAATTAAGGTAATTTAACTATTAAATTAGAAAATTAAAACTTATTACTCAAATTTAAAACTTTCTACACTAGAGCTGGGTATATGCCAGAGCAAAAAACTGAAGTGTGTGTTTGAAGAAAATTTTTTATATGATGTTCATATCTAAACAAATCGATATTAATTTAAATGAAAACTGAATAAGAAATTTAAGGTAACTATATTAAATAGATGCTCATCAGTAGAAAGTAAAATCATTTATGAAAATCAGTGTTGCCAATGTCATTGAAAGAAAAGGATTTACATCAAGTGTTTGCATTTCTACTGAAATTATTGCATTTCTCCTATTATAAGTTTACATAAAAATAATTTGTTATAAAATATTAATATAAAATAAGCTTCGATCTCGACATGAACTCAGAGTTGCTTTCAACTATTGATCAACAGTTAGATGTCTATTAGACTCAGCGGTGTTTCATCTCCAGAGTGTTGTAATGAAACTCCTCAAACAAAGAGGTGTTTATAACTTTTGGGTTAATCAATTTCATCACCCTTCTTTTTAGTGAATCCATTTTGTCTATCAATAGTGGTTTTATTGAAGTTAAAAACAAAGCTTTTCTTAACTGAATTTCAATACATAATACGAATGAAACCGTAGGAAGAATGCTTGAGGTTATGGAAATGATTTTTCTTAGATCTATAATGGAATTTATTCCTTAAAATATTATTATTGATGAAAACAATATAATAATATTATAAAAACATTTATGACACTACTACGCTTAGTAATATTATAATTTTGAGATAATTTCCTTATTTTGCAAATTTTCTAAAAAAAATTTCCTAATGCAATTATGTATAGAATTTTATATATAATAGTAATTTGTTAATCGGAAATGTCTTAAAACTTTATGTTTGTGTTCTAAGAAGATTAGTTAGTACGAGCAAACTTTGTAATGTTCTACTTGAAATGAATGAAATTATCCTATCAACACTTAAATCTAAAATCCATTGTAATTATTTTATGCCATCATCTGTAGTAATATGTCGCCTTTGGCTTATTCCAAACAAAGCTTTGAAACTCAAGTGGACAAACCTAAATATGATGCCTTGATAACCAGTGCTATTTTGCATATATACATGCCTTGTGAATTTTAGATTTGCAATAACTTGTGAATTTAACGCACAGGATAAATTGTGAAGTTGTGTCCTTAGATTCTCTAGATACTCACGTACACAATCAGCCACAAACAATCGAAATATGAATGCTGAAGTTCACATATGTAATATGTCAAGAAGGCCAGTGGCTTGCTTATTACGGTACTATTACAAACTGTAGAGGATTAATAAACCTATTATATATATTGTAACAAAATTTACATTAAGCAAATGCGAAGGACTTGAGGAGCAAAGTACTTATACGCAAACAATAAAGGTAATATTCATAACGTACGAAAACAATAATTAGTAACAAACAATTGTCAATTAGTCCGTTGAAATGGAAACAGCATTGTAATTAATTTCTCACATTTTAACTGAGAATTTCAATAACAAATAACCTGTAATAAACGGTCGAATGTGCAATTAAGGCTAAAGGATCTAATAGATAAACATGCTACGGCACTCAGTGCATGGTGCAATAATGAATGCGATTTGGGTGCAGTCTTTAATACCAGCCATTTCAATGCAATTAAATTGGAATTTTGAGGAAATTATTTCTGAGTTAAACGAGATTTTAGTGAATAAACTAATAAAATGTTTTACTTTATATTAGA